GTTACATTGGCAATCTCTGATGGTATCATTATTAGTATATGTCAATTAATCAGTTCGTCTAAGAAATAAAATGGATTTAGAATTTGCTCTTACAACATTAAAATAATCTCTTTAAATATTTCCATGTCTTTCGCTTTTATATCTTCTGTAGTTTTATTTTAGCTAAAACAAATTCTTTATTTCTGACAACAGTGTGTATATCGGCGTGAAACATTTTCATATCTATTTATTCATTTTAAATCAATTATTTAGATAATTATCATTATTTTATATATTATTATTATTATTATTATTATTATTATGGATAGTTATTGTTAATATGGTTAATTTAAAATAAGCAGCATGGTGGTACTCCACTGTATCAACACTATCATTGATTACATCTTTTTTCAATTTTTATTTAAATAAACTAATAGAAATACATGGTTTATTTCGACTTCTGTATTCTGTATCAGTTCCGAGTCATTTGTTTCTTAAATCAATCTAGAAATTTTTTGGAATAATTCATTTAAACTGAATAAATTTTCATACAGATGTTTTTTTTTTTAATTTGTTGAACTACTTCGTAGAATATATGTGTATTTGACAATTGTCTTGACCTAATTTTATTTTTTGTCTTTGAATTGTAATAATATAAAGACTTGATGAAAAAGAAAAAAGAAAATAAGTGATTCCTAAGAAAATATTTATGATTTATTTTCTATATATAAGCAATAAGAAAATCAATGGATTTTATTAAGTACCATTGTTAGATTCTCAATCTGCGTAAGATTTAACATGAAAGACTTTATAGAAAAATGTTTCACAACATAGATTAGAAAAAAAAATAATTAAGATCTATAAAAGATGATTTATAAGTAAAATTTAATCTGTGGAAATAGAAACATATATATCGAATAAAAACTTTGTTCTAGTTACTAGAAAAATGACTTTTATAGTTTGACATTTGATTATGTCTTCGCAATAGATAAGCCGATTAAATCAGTGAGAATTAAAAATAATTTATTTGATCTACTCTAATTAGTAGAATAATCGAGTTATTCAAATCGAATCTTATTTATAGAATAGAGGTTAAGAAGATGATATCTTTCTCCTATTATGATATGACTAATGAGAAAATAGATAAAAAAAAAACGTTTAAATAAACACTGTTGAAGGTACACAGAAAGTGAATCTAGGACACTTGCCCGCAGAATATTTGCCCGCCAGACATATGCCCGCAGTACACTTGCCCGTAGGACTTTTGCCCGCGACGGACAATTGCTCGCGATGGACAGTTGCCCGTCAGACAGTTGCCCGCCGGATATTTGCTCGCGGATGACACTTGCCCGCAAAATAATTTTGCACGAACGGTTGCTCACCGTTATTCTTCGAAACAAATGGTTGCTAATTTTATTTCTTTCAACATTTTATTTATTGAAACATCTCAATAATATATGTACAAGTGAGTTAGAGTTGTAAGACAAATAAGTTAGTCCGATTTCAGCGAAATGTTATTAGCTAGTGCTAATACTTTATCCAAATTTGTTGTTGACTGTTCATTCAAAATGTTCAAAATTCTTTTTTGTTGACGTTCTGTCACCAAACGTTTTGGTCATCTAACCCCGGCTTCAGCTTGAATTAATTCGGCTTCGACCATTAGTTGTTCTTTTTTCAACGAATTCAGAAATTTCCAAATATTCGGATGTGCACAATCGACTAGCAATGCAAATCGGTTGTTCCATCCCTCGAGCATATTGTTTGTTCGATGACCACCTTGTAAAGTATCTTGATGGACATTCCAGTTTCACATTGAATTGAGGTCTTTTCCGCGGTTGATTTGCTCGACTGTGTTCACCGATGTAGGTTTTTTCGAAGTATTCCAAGACAGGTTTTCCTTGGATCGGAAATTGTTGTTTCAATTCTTCAAACGTATCGATAACGTCGTCCGTATTCAATAAAGCCAGAGCAGGCAGAGCTCGAATTTGTTCAGCTAGAAGCGGATCGTCAGAATAATCTGTTTTAAGTCCAAAACGTACGACGGCTCGATAGACAGACTGACACAGATGAAAAAAACATTGTCTCATTGTCCGTTCCCTATGCATTGCGGGCAATAGAGACCTGCGGAGGACTCCGAAACCCGATTATGACTCCGACTCCGTCGGAGCCGGAGTCGGAGTCAACAAAGCATAAATTTTCGGAGTCGGAGTCGGGTTTACTGAAAAATTTTTTCGGAGTCAAATAGAAATCGAAATTATAACCATCTATGACTAATTTTTGCTGTTTCATAAATCAATAACTTTTTTTTTCATATTGATAATCAAAAGAACAAAAGACAACACTTATTACATAAATTAAGAATGAGTTTTAAGACAAAAAAATAAATAGATCATTTTTCAATTATAACGTTCGAATTGCCAACTATATGGAAACATAATAAAACTAATCAAAAAGTATTTCAATATCATCCGAACTACTATAATTGTTATCATCATCAATTCTTGATAGTTTTGGCATAGTACATGTCGAATCTTCAGATGACATTGTATTTGTTGATGACATAGAAATGGTTCTTTTTCTTTTATTTTCTTGGGAGAGTTGTTTTAATAAAATGAGATTTTTTTGTAAAAATAGCAGCTGATTCAATTTTTCTGAAGCTAAATTCGTTCGTTTTTCAGTAATTGTGGATTTTGAAGCTGAAAATAGTCTTTCAATAATGGTGTTGGATGCGGGAATAGCATGAATTTCTTTAGCTAAAGCTGATAACACTGGAAATTGATTTTGTTTGTCCCTCCAGTACGATAAAATATCAATATCATCATCTTCACATTCATTTTCATTATAATTGTATGAAAATTCAGAATTTAAATAATCTTCAATTTCTTGATGTGAATTTGGTGTTTTAACATTGGAATTGACCATTGCATCAAAACATTGAATTAAAAGTTTTTTACCTTTTAATGATGCAATATTTGTATCAGTATTTGAAGAAATGGATGAAATAACTTGATTAGAACCTAATACACAAGCAGATGATGAATTATTCAATTGATATTTGTCAAATGCTAATTTTAATGCAGAAATTGCACGTTCTTTCTCATCATAGCAACTTTCAAAATTCTTTAATTTTGGATGAAGAATTGTTGCTAGTCGATGTTCATTCGAAATAAGCCAAACAGTTTTCATTCGATGAGCTAAAATTCAAAAGCATAAGTGTAAAAACAAAAAAAAA